ATGTATCTTAAACTCCACACTCATTTTATCCAATTCATTTACCAATTCCTTTTGTTCCGTAACCAGGTTGGCCAAATTTCCCATATTTTTTCGACTAAGAGCATCTGCAACCATGTTGGCCTTACCAAGATGATAATGGATCTGTAAATCGTAGTCTTTAATTAACTCTAACCACCGACGTTGCCGCATGTTCAATTCCTTCTGGGTAAAAAGGTACTTGAGACTTTTGTGGTCGGTGTAAACTTCACAGGTAGTACCATACAAATAGTGCCGCCATATCTTTAAAGCAAAAATTACCGCCGCGAGCTCAAGATCATGCGTGGGATAATTCTTTTCATGGGGTTTAAGCTGTCGTGAAGCATATGCGATAACCCTTCCACCTTGCATAAGCACACACCCTAATCCTTTATGGGACGCATTACTGTAAATTACAAACCCTTCGGTGCCAGACGGTAAAGCCAGAATTGGAGCTGTGGTTAGCTTCATCTTCAATTCCCGGAAAGCAGACTCCCACTCTTTTGACCATTCAAATGCAACTCCCTTTCGAGTCAATTGTGTAAGTGGCACAGCAAGTTTGGAAAAATCTTGAACAAATCTTTTGTAATAGCCAGCTAACCCCATAAAACTACGCACTTTAGTCACATTGGTAGGAGTCGGCCATTTCACAATCGCCTCAATTTTGTGTGGATCAACAGAAACTCCTTCCTTTGTGATAATATGCCCCAGAAATGACACCTCGAGTAGCTAGAATTCACATTTCTTTAGCTTTGCATACAATTTCTTTTCCCAAAGGGTTTGAAGAATTAAGCGAAGATGGGTCTCATGAGCTTCCGCATTCTCTGAATAAATGAGGATATCGTCAATAAAGACCACCACAAATTCATCCAAATAGGACTTAAAGACGCGGTTCATCAAATCCATAAAGGCTGCTGGGGAGTTAGTAACTCCAAAGGGCATAACCAAAAATTCATAATGACCGTACCGAGTTCGAAAAGCTGTCTTCTCAACATCATCAGCCTTGACTTTTAATTGATGGTATCCAGACCGTAGATCAATCTTAGAAAAGACCTGTGCCCCTTGAAGCTGATCAAATAGATCATCGATTCTTGGCAATGGATACTTATTCTTGATTGTGACTTTGTTAAGTTCTCTGTAATCGATACAAAGCCGGAGTGTTCCATCCTTCTTCTTTACAAACAAAACTGGTGCACCCTACGGAGATACACTCGGATGGATAAATCCTTTGTCCAGTAAATCTTGCAACTGCATTTTCAATTCTTTCATCTCGGCTGGCGACATTCTATACGGAGTCTTAGAAATAGGATGAGTTCCCGGTGCTACATCAATTGTAAACTCAATTTCACGGTCTATTAACTGCCTTGGTAATTCTTCTAGAAAGATGTCCGGAAATTCACAAACAACTAGGATCATGTCGGTATTCCCATTCGCCACTTGCCCCTCTAGAACACTGCATAAGTACCCCTGACACCCTTTCTGAATCAATTTACAAGCCCTTGCTGCAGAAATTAAATAAGGTGGAGAAGTCACTCCATGTCCCAGAAAGGTAGACCCTGACTGTCCCGGAGGGTGGAAACTGATTTGTTTAGTCAAACAATCGATAGTTGCACCATATTCACCCAACCAGTCCATTCCCAGAATAATATCAAAATAGGCCATATCAAGAGGTAACAGATTGGCATATACCCGGATATCCCCAAGTTGGAGTTCACAAGCAGCACATACAAAAGTACAAATCATAGGGCCTCCCATAGGTGAAGACACACACAACATATAAGACCGTTTTTCTTCAGTTTTATCTAAATTAGGAGCAAATAGTTTCGACACAAAAGAGTGGGTGGAGCCAGAATCAAATAATACATGAGCGAAATGACCGTGAACAATAAATGTACCTGACACCACTGTTGCCGCATTTTGCACATCTCCTGGAACCAATGCGAACACCCTGCCTTGTCTCGCAGTGTCTTTATTATTAGTAGGTTTAACAGTTGTCTTGGTGTTGGAAATTGGTGCAGACCTCGCAGAACTTGTAGCGGTCCTATTATTACTCTGTTGATTCCTTTGAGGGCAATCCTTGATCAAATGACCCGTCTTACCACACTGAAAACAGGCTCCAGACTTTCGATAACACGTTCCACGATGCTTCTTCCCACATTCCGGACAAGTCGGCATTGAATCCTGGCTAGGGGTAGTGGTATTTGAACTCCCTAAAGTTTGCTTCTTGTTTGGTGGAGTAGGTGATCCCTTCGACCATTGAGTATTTTGCCTCTTCCCTTTCCATTCTGAAATTCGACTCTGAGTAGCGAGATTCCCTTCCGCTATAACAGCCCTCTCCAACACATCCACGTATGTGGGTAACTTCAACATGTTGACCTTATCCAGGATAGCGCTCCGCAATCCCCCTTCAAATTTGCGCGCCTTCTTATAATCCGTGTCCACCATATGGGGTGCAAACCGAGCTAATTCTGCAAATTGGGCTTCGTATTCGGCGACGGTTTTGTTCCCTTGCCTGAGAGTTTCGAATTCTGTTACCTTCTTATCCCGCATGCTTTGAGGACAGTACTTGTCATAAAACAATTCTAAGAATCTATCCCATGTCAATCCTTGGTGTACAATTCTCGTAAGCATCCACCATCTGCGTGCCTCATCCTCAAGAGTAAAGGCAGCCAATTGCACCTTTTGAGCTTCTGTGCAGGGAAAGACTTCGAATAACTTCTCTATTCCCAACACCCACGCCTCAGCTTTCATTGGTTCTATTCCTCCTTTGAAGGATGGCGGTTTCATCTTTTAAAACTCCTTAGTAAGGGTGATAGTCCGGTCTTCAGCATGGAAATCTTGTACTGCCAGTGGAGGTACCGGTGGTGGTGGTGGTTGTGGCTGTTGCTGTTGTTGCCGTAGGGTCTCCGCCATCTATCCAGCCATGCAGAAGTAGCATCTTCTGTATCTTCTGTCCTTGTTCTCACCATTGCCTACACAATAATCATTTATACACAATAGACATATTTCAAAAGTGTTAGCATTATCAGAGTAGACTTAACATTGCCATCGTTCTTTCACATACTTTCAGGAAGTCATGCAAGATGCCTAAAGCTTTTCCAGAAACTGTAGACGTCCCCGAACGCCCCGGGAGGGTTAGTTCCCGTTCTGTTCATTTTGGGTTACTACAGCTCAGACTCTTAAAATGTCACGGTTCCTAATCTGAACCAAAGAGTCCAAATCCGGCACATTGTTTTGAGCAACTGATTTTTTGAAAAATGGCCAAGGACTTCAGAGAATATTTAGAATTTGATCAGCATTTGTGAGAGATATTAAGATTATTATTCTCCATTTGATTTTGCTTCTATTCTTTCATTCTTTGCTGATTATTGCTGAAAAAAAGATATTTGGGGAACTTTGTGGTGTAATGCTCTGGTGTCATGGTTATTATGAAGTGTCAAGTAACTTAAAAAAAAAAAAACATGTTTTGCAGCTATGCATGGACAATTGCGGACTGCGGCACTTGTGAGAGCCAAATGGGGTGGCTTTTTACAGCTACGAATAAGAAATTGAAACCCAGATCATTTTGGGGCATTCGATGTTCCCAAGTTGCTGATGACATGCGCTGATGACAGCTTTTTAATTTTCAAATGCCTTCTCAATTCTCTGTCAGTTGCCTATTCTGGTGAGGTTGATCTGTGTATGTCTAGTTGCATTTATTGTAATAACCAATTTCTCATTAAAATCATTTTCATCTGTCGAGAGGTGTAGATCACATGTTAGAGAAGTAGACGTGGTGGAAGTTTTGGGATTTGTTAATATATCAGAAGCTATTTTTGGCTTAAAACTTGAGTGCGGGATTTTCCTTTTTTCCAGCATCATTCATTTTCTTAGCTTATGTGGAGTAGTGGTTGAACTCGTGGCTTTGTTCGTGTGTATATTCTGTTCAGAAGCTGATCCTTCACTGTTAGGTTGTTCCCTGGATACTAATTTGTTTGATTCAATGGTTGTGTGTACTTACTGTTTGACCTGAAGCAGTGGTGGTGGTGGGGAAGCAGTGGTGCCGACGTGTGAGAGAATGGTGGAGGTGGTGGTCTCGTTGGTGTTGGTAACGGTTGTCTGAATTTTTTTTTCCCTTTTTCACATTTTAATGGTGAAATGCTTTTTCGTCCAAATAAACTTGGTTTAGGACTTGATTGATCATGGAATTTTCTATTTTTATTTTTATTAATTTTTTGTTGACTCTTTGTTTTCCATTGTACTGAGGGGTGGTTTGGTTTGGGTATCACCTAAATAAGTTGTTTATTACTGATTTATTATTTGTTATAAGTTATACCATCATTTCTTTATTTTTTTTTTCGCGTATTTTTGTAATATGTCAATAAATTATTAAATAAGTCATATCCAAATCATCCCTGAGTATAGGAAAATGTGCAATATATTTATCATAAAATTTTTATGCTGAAATAAATGGATTGTTTTGTTTTTAATGCAAACAAAAAAAATTGATTTGTTTGTAGAGATTTAATTTACTTTCGTACGCATCAGCAAAAGAGTCACTACTTCCTAATCATAAAATGGAGAGCTCTCGTAAACCTTGTTTGATAACTGCTACAGATTTTTTAACATTATTGGATGATATATATATACATATATTGTAAAAATATTTGTATTATGTTTGATTAGCTATAGTATAATATAAACATAAAATAAGAAGTGATTAGTTTTTATCATTAAATGAAGTGATATGATTAATCCCATAACCTTGAAATTGCCAATAATATGGGAGGTTTGTTTTACCTTGCTAATCTCCAAAAAAAATCCACTTTTATATTATTATTATTATATGTTTTTGAAAATTTTCAAAATTGGACAAATTTGGAAAGAAATGAGATGGAGTGAGTGAGTTAGTTTTTGTTGGTTCTAAATTTTCTACAGCTATGATTTAGCTGCAGTTTGTTTTGCCAAACATCCCTGACCGAAACTAGGTGTAAAGCATACACGTATTGGACAGTAACAACAATTAAATTTCTTCCATAAATATGAATGTAAGACATTATAACAATGACAACATCTTATAATTTGATCTATAAAAAATGAATACAATCATCATGAGATCTGATATCAAGACCAGTATCCCCTAATCTACTACAATTGATTCTGTTTGGCAGTGAGAAAGACAAGTGGAAAGAATGGCCACACGGGCGGCAAACAAACATCTACTTTACCATCGGAGAAAGCTACAAGCCAACGACAGATTAAAGAACAGCACGGTGCATATGCCCTAACTTAGAGGTAGTTGCGGTAGATTGGGCTGTACATGCAACTCTCTGCAAACTTGATAAGATTCCTGGGGCGAGGGAGATGAGTAGCCAGACCTAGAAATAAAAAACAAAATCATATGTAGTCGATAAATATTACCGGAGAGTTTTTTTCCATGCCATTGGCAACAACTAAAAATCCATTTTTTAAAAACTTTTTTGGTTTTTTTTTGCCTTTCGTGGAGTGTTTAAAATATTTTTTTTACTTTTTTGGTTTGTTTAGTCTAGTAGAACTTAAAAATCGAAAGCTTTTTGAAAAATTAATTTTTATTTTTATTTTTACTGTAGACGAAAAATAGTCAGCAAAAAAAGTTGCCAAAAAAGCAATTGCTAAACCCAACTGAGTCATTAAGAGAGGTACTAACCTAGTTCATATGACTTGGCTGCTACATTAGCAGCAATCTGAGCTGATATATTTCTGATACTGGTGAAGGGTGGGAAGATTAGTCCCTTTTCATAGTTCTCCTCGGTCACTTGAGCTGCCAACGCTTCCGCTGTTTTGAGAAGGTAAAACAGTTAAAAAGTAGTTAAACCCCTAAACCTTGAACCGTAAACCATTCAAAGTAAATTGAATCCAACCCATGCCCAAAAATTTGAAGAAAAAAAAAAATCAAATCCTGTGTTTTTGTGTCAAATTATGCACGCTGTTAGTTCTTCGCTAATAGAAATTGGTATTCTTTGCCAACGCCTGTATCAACCATGAGCTTCTCAACTTTCCAATACCTAAGATTTCCTAGAGTTGATGGTTTTTATGTGTGGATATTGTCGTCAATAGTATAAATTGAATTGTGAATTGTAAGACTTAACAACCATGTGTGAGGATGTTTTACTTGTCATATCATATGCAACTCAATAGATAGCTTTGTAAATCATTTTTTCTACTTACAGGCTGCTAAAAGCATATCTTCGTGCACGCGAATTGTACCGGACATGATCAAGCCCAAACCCAATCCAGGGAAAATGTATGCATTGTTTGACTGCACGACACATGTAGAAATGAGCATCCAATAGATATAAGGACAGAGCTATGATTCAAAATAACAATAATAGATTTCCAGGGACAAGTTAGGACCTGCCCGGGCACAAAAACTTTTCCATTATATTCAACGGGGTCAAATGGGCTTCCACTAGCAAAAATTGCACGACCCTGCAGATTTAGATAATGGAGCAGCAGAAAGAAAGTTTCTTTTAGTTCATCTTAACCACGGTGCTCAAGATTTATGGGGTATGACACATCAAAACCTCAATTCAACCAATTGCACTCGTATACTAGGGCTGCAAACGAGCCGAGCCCAATCATGCTTTGCAAGGCTTGAGCTCGTCTCATTTGTTTATTGAGCTCGAAAATTAGTCTAGCTCAAGCTCAGTTTGGCTCAGCTTGACTCATTTATAGTAATCATGCTCAAGCTCAACTTGAAGCTCGATAATGAAGAAACAGTTCGGCTCCATAATCAAGCTCAGCTTATCATATATAATTATATATTAAATAGGCATATATAACACATTTTATATTATTTAATATATAAATAAAATATTTATCATATTATTTAAATAAATAATAAATAAGCCGAGGTTGTATGTCATCTTACCTCGCTCCATGTATAAGCTTCTTCAGCTGTGCACTCAGACTGTGATGTTGGGTTGGACAGAGCAAGAATAACAGGTTTCTACACGCAATTCATCCACATCAATGTCAGAATCTTCTCATTAGATGACACATACTTATACATGGCTAGGTGTGCATCAATGCATATATTTGTGAGAGGGAGAGAGAGAGAGACCTTGTTGAACGATGCCATGGCCTCGATGACCTCCTTTGTAAATGTTTTCCCAACTCCAGACGTTCCTATCAACACTGTCGGCTTGATTGCCTGAGATGCAGAAAATAGAGTGAGCTAACAGGAAAAAATCTTCACTGAAATTTTTAAGACAACATTTTCTCACCTTTACAGCATCTAAGAGTTCCTTAACAGGTTCATGGTCATGAGCCCAAGGTTGCTTGAAGTGTTGAAGAGACTCCACACGAGAGCTGACTACCAGTCCCTGAAAGAAAATTTGCACACATTCCAATTGGGGAAAAAAAAACTAGAAAAAGAACACAGACAGATGCAACAAAAGACTAACAATGTTGTTTGGCTAGCAGGAATTTCAGATTAGATTCGTATTACCTTTGAATCCACTAGCCAAATCTTTTTGCGTGTCTCCTCTACTGGAGTGTTTGTCTGCCAAAATGACGGTCAGTCTGAGAGTCTGATCAGAAATCTTAGCTGAGAAAATAAGAGATGATAGATAGTGTAGTCTGCTAATACCTTTTTCGATATCTCGAGAGCTATAAGCTCCGCTATACCAGTTCCAGCCTTCAGTTGCCAAGGGAGAAAAGTTAGATATAGCGTCACAAATAATGAATACATTGTTCACACACACACACACACTCGTGTGTGTATATGTGTCCATAAACGTCAATACATGTAGTTTCTCGACAGCGAGAAAACAGGTGTCCAATTTGTGAAGACTAGTTAATAGAATGACAAATTAGGGGAAAGAAAAGCATGTATAGTATCGTTTCTCTCTGAAAATGATCATGAAAAATGATAAGAAATGCTTCATACTAGGCAGGAAAATGGTGGATTTAGAGATATTGCAGACTATGAAGTCTAAACTAGGTAAACCCTCAGGTAAGGAGGTGACAAAGTACGTAATATAAACTGAGTAAAGAGAAGAAAATGGTAGAAAGTGAAAGTCATAGAAAGTGAAGTGAAAGAAAAGGAAAAGAAATAGAAATGAAACTATATCTTTTTACAAGCATTTGATTAGGATGGAAAATTTGCTAGAAAAAGTGAGAAATTTGAAATATTAATTATATGGATAAATTCAAATTTTCTTGTGTTTTTGCAAGAAATTTAAAATTTAATTACCATGCTAGTATGTGTTGTACAGGAAAGTAACTTGTAGTTTCCGGCACTTCATGCTAAACAAACTCAAAAAAGTTTTCATTTTCTTCTCTTACCCTTATTTTACACTACTTTCATCCTAATCAACAAAGACATCAGTTTACGTCTCTTGAGGCTAAGGATACAAGAAGTTTACCTCTCCAGCACCCAAGAACAAGAATGTATGGTCAGCTAAGGTTCCACCAACTAATTTCAGAGCTGAAACAACCCCTGCTAGCACCACCACTGCTGTACCCTGCAATGAAGGAAATTGAGCAAAGTTACAAAATCTCTCACAAAACAAACACAATTTCCAGGTGTCAAAACCTCTCACTATGCTACCTGTATGTCATCATTAAAGACCAGATGGGTTGTGCGATATTTTGCCAGAAGCTCAAATGCACTGTGGTTTGCAAAATCTTCAAACTGAATATTATGGTTAAAAATATTAGAAGAATTATAAAGCACATAAGCAAAACTCAAATATGACGGTACTGAAAACTGACCTGTATGAGGATTTTTTCCCCATAGTTCTGCTTAACTGCACACATGAACTCGTGCAGAAAATCGTAATATTCCTAAATTTCAATAATGAAACCCAACTCAATGTGACAGAAAATTACAAAATCTACAGACATAAGACGTAACATTGCCTAAAAAGGAAAGGGGGAAGAAAAGAAAAGATAATTGTTAAACCTGCCCTCTTGCCCTCTTTTGCCTGAGCCCAATATAAAACTCATTGTCCAGCAACTTCTGATTGTTCGTGCCAACATCAAGGGTTATAGGCAAGCACTGCATACGACGAATTCATATGGTTAATAACTACACTCAAAATACCATGAAGAAAACTGTGTCTTGATAATCAAAATGAATCATATTCTGTCATTCCTGATTATTTGATACACATTGTTAGAATTTATGTATAGAGAAATAGAGAAAATGAATTATGTATTGATTTGTTTTATTATTGATTGATTTTATGTTGTATATTACAATTCCTATATATAGAAGAGAAGATGGTAGTAGGTGTAGGTGGTAGTGGAGGTGGTAGGTGGAGTGGGTAGTAGTGGTAATTTACATTTACACAATTTACATTAACACACATATAGAAAGTTCATTCGGAGTTATGCGCAGTATTTGAGCCAAATCCGAAGAATTCACTAATCATTAAACTATAACAGGACAAACTAAAACTATTACTGAAGATTAATCAAACAAAGAAATGAAAATTTTAAGTAGCACTTACTGCTGAAGGACGGACTCCTCCAAGTGCTGTATAGAGAGAGAGTTTACCAACAGGGATCCCCATTCCCTGCAACATTCAAATGTTTCAATCAATCACACACACACACACACACACACACACAAGTTTTTCAAACTCATCATTCAAAGATTGATCATGAATATTTAAGCAAATGGGATAGGGCATATTTACCTGGCATCCGAGATCCCCAAGTCCTAAAATTCTCTCACCATCAGTTACAACGATAACTTGAATATTTTTCTCGGGCCAGTTTTTCAGCACTTCAAGAATCCTCCCTCTGCAAACTCCAATAGTCACTACCTTGTGAGTTCTACTCAAATAAAAACAAAGGATGCCCAGCCCAAAACATGCCTAAGCAGGAGAACGGAGGGGAAAAAATGAGAAAGATAGCACATTTGATCTAACTTCCATTAACAAAGGATGCCCAGCCAATAGTCACTACCGTTGTGTGTTCTACTCAAATAAAAACAAAGGATGCCCAGCCCAAAACATGCCTAAGCAGGAGGAGGGAGGGGAAAAAATAAAAAAGATAACACATTTGATCTAACTTCCATTAACAGAGCAGTTCTTCTATTTGCACAGAAACCAATCACAGAACCGAATACAAGCCTTTCACATGAGAGGGTTGTGTCCGATTCTGTAATCGGTTTCTGTTATCCTAGATTTTTTCCTAAAAGAGTATAGAATTGAATAGGTATCGGATGGTCATACTTCTCTTTCAAACTGATGAAAAGACCCTGAGGACGCCTGAAAACGTTCCCGTATTTCTGGCAAGCCTCACCAACTACTGGGGTGTACACAATTGGGAGCAGTTCTTCGACATTATCAATGAGAAGCTTGAAAAATAGCCGTTCATTTCTCTCCTGAAGATCCATCATGGCAACATATCTATGCAGTGGAACATCATAACTGCGTAGATTTTGCATCACTTTCTTCTCCTGATTACCAGATTCGGAAAATCATAAACATGGAGTATTTTTTTTTGGGCTAGTAAACATGGAGTGATTTAATCAAAAGTATTAGAAAGCTTGAGAGAAAATGAATTTGTTCACACATTGACAGAGTTTGTAAACAATACAATACACTCTAATTGGTCCAAAACTATGGACTCCATATTTTTTACTTAAACTTGTAGGCTCCACACAGTTAAACTTGAACCAATCAAAATACATGCGGACATTGTCAGCCGTGTGAACAAAATTAGACTCAGCTTGAGCTATTAAGGCAATGTTTATTAGGTAACCTGAAGCTCTTGAGTTAAAATTGATGGGGGTAGTAGGCCGCGTATGTAGTGGGCATCCCTCTCTTTCTCGGAGAAGGCAAGCCCTTTGTTGTGGTGAGGATCGCGCAACAAAGTATAGCCACTGCACACAAGTAAAGAAAAACTCAATCAGCAAACTTATAGAAATAAATGTTTTAGTACAATTAGCATATTAAAAATGTTAAAAAGTACAACATTCGAAGTAAAAAAATAAAACCATGAAAGACTGTATAATTCTTGAAAATCTAATGAATGAACTGCAATGGCCTTAAATGACCAGAGATAAATAGACAAGTTGCATGTCTGAGTGTTTTGCAAGTTCTAATCTAACATAATCAATTTGTCAATCAGTTCATTATATTATATTATACAAATTTGTATAAATGTGCTAGAGTAGTATTTTGATTTATATAAATGTGTCAGAATAGTATTTTGATTTATTATATAGAAGAATTTAACTAGATACATTTCCCCAATACTAATGCAGCCATAGATTCGATGATCTCCACACCAAGATTATCTTGAAAAGAGAGAAAATAATAAAATATAGAGTAAGATAATTGGCTTTTTATACACAGTTACATAGGCTACTTATATTTAATATGCAGGTATAGAATCTATTGTGGAACAAAAATATCAAGATAAATGATGGTTTCAAGAATGATCTTTTTGGCCATTTTAAATCAAATCTGAATCAAGATTTCCATGACAACTAAATCTTAAGCTAAAATATACCTAAATTTAAATGAGAGTTTTATTAGAAAATTTTTTTTCAAGTATTTGTATCCCAATTAATTTATAAGATATTCTTGTATTTCAATAAGTCTTATTATTTGAATATTTGATCTACCAAATCCTAATTCTCATTTTAATAATGTGAACATTCATATTTTACAATGTGAATATTCATATTAACGTGTGAATGTTTACATTGGCAGTGTGAATATTCACACATGTTAACATTCACATTGATGGCGTGAACATTTACATCACGAAATATCCACATTATAAATATGAATATTACTAGGGATACTTTGGTAACTATATCACTAATAAAACTTATTGGAATATAAAAAAGGAATGTGATCTAAATAAACGTAAGTGAAAAAGAATTTATGAAAAAGTGTCTCATTTTAAAATTTCTAGACTGACATGATTAAAATTAAGGAAAGGAACTAATCTTAGAAAATAAATGACATATATAAAAACTACTGACGAAGAAATACTTGGACGCAAAAGGCATCAAGAACAGAACAAATAGTTTCTACAGAAATGGTAGAAACTTGGAAAGAAAAAAATAAGAACTAATATGGAACATAATGAACAACTTGCCAAAATATCACTTGTATTGACAGATCTAAACGATGAAATTCAAAATTATCCTAAGCGTCTAAAATTATAGAATGATATTGAATTAATTTCCTTATACACACATTCACAAACTAGTAAAATAAAGATACAACAATGTGAGAAGGACAAATGCTCATCAAACAATAGAATTAAATTAAGCAAAAACAAAAGCAAAAATCAGCACTATAGACAAAAATAAAAGATATAAAGCTGAGGCCCTTAACTACAAAACAAAGACAAAGCTACAAAAAGACAGAGTATATTGATGATACATTGAAGTCTCAAACTGGAATCATAACACTTAAGCAGGATCGATAAATCACGAAACATATAAACAAACAAATGCACAAGAAAGATAAATCACATGCATATACACACAAAATATATATATATATATATATTTACTTGATTCACCCTAAAATAAGATACATCCATAATTATTGTAATTTTTACCATGATAAAAATTGTTACAAGAGATAGCCGAATGGTTAGCATATCCACACTACCCAACACAAACCCATTCTTCAAAATAGTGTATTAAGAAAAACCCATTAGCAATAGCCTCAAATTGAGAAAAACAAACAAAACGCAGATCAGAACAGTGAAAAAAACAACCAAAAAAAAAAATTTACATTAACTATTGAATTGTAGTATCATCACCTAGCGATAGTGACAGTCCAGGGGGTGACGAGCTGGTCCTCCGTGGCACTATCCTCACCATACGCGTCCAGAACACCACCACCAACACCAGATTTATCTTCCATGTCAGCCACCGATTCACCATTCCTCAATGTGCTCTCCATCACAACCCTAATCTCTCTCTCTCCTCCTCTTCCTCGACACTGAAACACACCCAGAACTCGTCTCTGCGAATAGAGAGAAAGCTCAGCAAAACCCAGAAACCAAAAACACGCAAAACACACTCACAGCACAGTTCTCGTGTTCGCAATCAACCAACAACACAATACCCACGTTTTATAACCAATCAAAAACAACAAATTTCAATTTTTTTATACAAAATTGATCTGTTTTCAAGGTGAAAAGGCACAAGAAGGACATTTTTGGTGTATGAAACGTATATATATATATATATATGATATGGGTTTGTGAAATAATGATTACCATGAAATTGAATCTGTTGGAGGACATCATAGTTGAAAGGAACGTGTGGATCTCCGAGTTTATTGTAGACAGAGAGAGAGAGCGAAATGAAAGTTGGTCCCTGTAATGGAAGTTGGAAGTTATTTACCAAAAAATGGACGTTGTATGTAGGGAAGCCAATGCCATATATCTCTTTCTTGAGCCAAACGCGTCCTAACAAAACAGAGGACGATTTTTATTCTTTGGGAAATTAAAAAAACAAAAAATAAAAATTTAAAACCTTACAACAAAATAAATCATAAAATTTTAATTTTATCAATTTAAACTTTGATTGTTTGATTTTTTTTTTCAATTAAACTATCTGTTTGTTTTTGTTAAGTAAAATAGATTAAAAAAGGGTAAATTATAAATACACACCCTGAGATTTACTTAAATTATAAATTATCCCATGTGATTCTAAAAATTATATTATGTTCCTTAAAATTTTTAATTTCATAACAAATAGGTCATTTTATTAATAAATTATCAAGCTAATTAACAATTTTTAATAATATTAAAATTTTATTTTAATTAATAATCCAGATAATTTTATTATTATATAGGTGGATAGTCAGAAATTTTACTTTTTTAATTAATTTTGTTAAATAAAACATTCTGACAGAGAGGTATTTGTAATTTGTCAAACCACAGGGAGCAATTCATATTTTAAACAAACCTCATGAAATGTATTTGTAATTTATTCATTAAAAAAATATATATATTTTAATCATGAAAAATGATCCGGACTCCCTCAGGGGTCACCCCCACGACCCCCTCTGGCTTATGATTGGCCAGTTTTTTTTTTCTCTCTCCAATCACTAACTCCCACGTGTTTGTGAGGTGATGGGGAAAGGGGGTCTCAATCACTTCCGTAAATTTAATGTAACAATACAAAATGTCTAAAATATCATTTTTAAGTAATATTATGAATTGTTAAGAACAAATTACAAATAGACGAAAAAGTCACAAAATAATTACATTACAAATAAGGATATTTTTGTTACAACTTTGACGCACATGAAAAGTTACGCTAATAGCATAAATGAATTTGCACCATATATACACAAAAAAAAATTACACTGTCATAAAAATATAATTTTTTGGTCATTGCTTCATTGAATTGCAATTTTCTTAATTTTGAAATCTTTATAAGAATATTAAAATAAAATAAAAAAGCAATCTCAGAGCTTCAAGAGTGGGCAATTGCATGTTGTGGTGCTGAATCCACACGTGCCTTGGCTAGGATGCAATACAATACTTTGCACCACCTAGCATGCAAGAATTTAATGATTTATATCACCCTCAATGCCTTCCTTCCAAAAAAAAAAATGCATTCCTTTTAAGTTGTGTTTGGTTTGTCACTTTTTAAGTTATTTTTTTAACTAATTCATTTTAATTTTTAAATATATTGGTTTTCAAAAAGTACCCGTTAACAAAAAATTAAAAAAGACCATTCAAATTTTTCTATAATTTGTTTAGTTTACTCAACACATTAATTTTTTTTAACAGGAACTTCATTTTAAATAGTATAAATAAATAAAAATAAATGAATAAACAATTACTGAACTTCTTTATAATAGATCATTATTTTGTTTCAAGAAACTTATTAGTACATGAAATTGGTTTCTCTTCATTTGAAGAGTTCTGGTTTGATCGGTCATCAAATAGTCCAATTTAATGACGTGTCGTTTAATTTTTAAGCTCCTATTAATAGATCTTCTATGAAAGAAATAAAATTAATTTTATATAGTAGCCAATGATTTTATTGTATTTATTTGTAAATAAATAGACAACATGGTTTAAATCATGCTTACCATTTATTTAATTTTAAATAATACAAAAAATTATGTTATGATTATTAAATTAAGTTGATATTTTTATAAATAATTTATATACACTCACTAAAAGAAAATAATTTATACTTTCCTTGCACCTAATTGCAGTTAGGCTTCCTCTTTTTTTATCAACCATATGCTTTGTGTGCGCATTCCATTTGAGGGGTGTTTTGAGAAATTGGTAAAAAATTAATTTTTTAGTTTTTTAGCTTTTTTAGTGACTTTTTTGGGAAAACTTGATAAAAAGTTAAAAAAATTGACTTTTTACCAAGTTTCCAAATTACCCTGAGTGTACTAAAAGTTGTATTGTAACTTACCATGGAGGTTGGTGGCCCAATGGTGAAGGCATTATCTTCTTATAGCAGTGAGTCGAGTTTGATCCCTAAGGGCGTGAAAATGTTGGATTTTTTCAGTGGCTCTCTTCTGAGACCTCGCGTTATATTTCGATTGAACCTTGGTCCTGCTAAGGAGTGGTTGATGAGCTCTATTGGGTGTTTTGGTGGTGCGTCCCTTCTTGTGGATTAGATTAAATCAGGCAGACAACCGGTTACCTCATAGCCTTAACCCACAGATACCGTGATGACACTTCACAGTATACTTTTTTCTTGTTTTAAAAAAAAATTATATTGTATCTTATAAGCTTTTAATATCAAATAAAATTAAAATGAAACCACAACATACTTGAAAGCTATTACAACACCATGACAAGGACATGCAATTTTCCCCCCTCAACATTTTGTTTAGTTAGTTAAAAGCTTAGTTTGTTTGAAACATTCATTGTTTTTTTTATTTATTTTTATCTAATGCTTTTTTAGGGTTGCTAAAGGGAATTTAATTAATGTAATTTTGGTAAGCTAGTAAAACGGGGTTGGGAAAGCAAAATCCATCAATATTTCTTATCGGGATGGGAAAGATAGGTACAAAATAGGGTGAAAATGTGAGAGCAAGATAGGAACCGGATAAATTCTCATGCTTAATACATTATTATAAACATGTGTACATATGAAATAGTGTCTTAGTCTAATTTTTGAATCCATCAATTATAAAAAAAATGTTTTAACTCTCTCAATTATAGGTCATTGTCACTTTATTGCCATTAACTTATCAAACTTGTTATGTTTTATCCTTTAATTTTTTAATTTGTTTTAATTTCAACATTCCTTGAACAATTTGTTAGAAACAATTACATGTGAGCTGCATTTTGGTCATAAACCAACACTTGAATATCCCCAAGATATCTTGTATATAAATAAGTTTTTGAATAAGAGTTATAGTCATTTTTTCCTTCTCATAATAGAATGTTAGCAAAAAAAATTGAGATGGAAACAAATAAAAAAGTTATGAAACAAAATGTAACAATTTTGGTAGAGAGAACTGTAATTTACTTGAAAAAATCATTACATATAGAAAATTTTAATTAACTAAAACACATAGAATCAATATGAGTGATAAATAAATCGTATATTTTGATCATATTATTTGATAAGTAAGATTATAAAAATTATTTTTTTTAATAGAATCACCTCTATTTTCACCCAGTTTTAATGCTTGAGTCATCAATGGTAAAATTTTATGGTTTGTTGAATCCAATGGCCTTTGTTTTTTGTTGGGGGGTAATTACAACCCAATAGAATTTTGAAAAAAAAGTTACATATTCATGAAAAAATCTACAATTTTAATTATTAATATTTATAATTTTTTTTAAATTTTTTTACTAATGTGATATTTCTCCTTTTTTATATATGGGTTGAGGACCGAAGGCTCATCATGAGTATTGTTTTGATAATTTAAATAATTTATTTTGTAGAGTTTTTTTTATGTATATAATTCATGAAAAAAATTGTTTTTTTAAAAAAATATACATGCCGTTCATTTTTTTTTAACTATAATTTAATATGATGAAATAAAAATATTACAATTGTCAAGTTAAATGATCTAAATGAAGAAATCAACAAAATAGACGATTTGAATAATTGAAACGAGATTTGTAAGAGTGTCATTATTAAGCTCATTAGAGCTGCCTTTTGACTATTTTATAGGCCGGACTCCATGTCCCCCATATGGGGGACTATCCTGTCCTGGGGGGTGGGATTGTTTTGGAGGGACTAATCACTGTTTGGATTAGATGGGAAAATGACAATTTTGACCCTCTACTATTTAATTATGTATTATATTTAATAAAATTTAAATGTCTCAATTTAAAAATAAAATAATTTTATTTAACTTTTTATTAATGTTTTATTTATTTAATTTTTTTAAATAATTTTTTATAGATATTTTATTGATGTTTTATTTTAAAATTTTGTTTATGTTTTATTTAATTTCATTATTTAAATTTAATAGATGTTTTAATAGATGTTTTATTTAAACAGTTAAATGTTTAATTTCAACAATAAATAATTTCATTTATTTAAATTATGTTTTATTTAAACATTTAAGCATTTGTACATCAACATGTTTATTAAATTATTTCAACATCTGTACATCAACATGTATATTTATTTAACATCTATTAAATTATGTTTTAATTCGTCAACATTTGATTACATTTACATTTGTTAATTGTTAATTACATCAACATTTGTTAATTGTTTAAACATAATATGTACATCAACATTTATTTAATTGTTAATTGTTAATTGTTTAAACATAATCTGTACATCAAAATAATTTCAATGTTAATTGTTTAAATAAAAATTTAAACATTTAACCATTAGTATGTTTAATTTCAACAATAAATTTTTATTTGTTTAAATAAAAATAATCTGTACCAGTCAAAAATTTTTTATCAATATTAGTATGTTTAAATATCTTTAAACAAAATTTAACCATTAGTATGTTTAATGTTTACTAAAAATAATTAAAATATTAAAGATATGTTTAATATTTCTGTTACTTAGTAAACAATTGAAAAAGGGTAAAATAGTCTTTTGTTCATTTATCATATCCAGTCCGTCCAACCAAACGTTGTATTCACTGAAAATAGTCCTATCCAGATATCTAATCCCATGAAAAAACAAACACATGATACATATCCAATCCGACCAAATAGTCCGGGGGATTTACAGTCCCAAGACTCAAGTCCAATGGATTCTAATCTCCTATTTTCCAGTCCGTCCAATCAAACACACCCTGAGTGTACTAAAAGTTGTATTGTAACTTACCATGGAGGTTGGTAGCCCAATGGTGAAGGCATTATCTTCTTATAGTAGTGAGTCAAGTTTGATCCCTAAGGGCGTGAAAATGTTGAATTTTTTCAGTGACTCTCTTCTGAGACCTCGCGTTATATTTCGATTGAACCTTGGTCCTGCTAAGGAGTGGTTGATGAGCTCTATTGGGTGTCTTGGTGGTGGGTCTCTTCTTGTGGATTAGATTAAATCAGGCAGACAACCGGTTACCTCAGAGCTTGAACCGACAGATACCGTGATGACACTTCACAGTATACTTTTTTCTTGTTTAAAAAAAAATTATATCGTATCTTATAAGCTTTTAATATCAAATAAAATTAAAATGAAACCACAACATACTTGAAAGCTATTACAACACTATGATAAGGACATGCAATTTTTCCCCCTCAACATTTTGTTCAGTTAGTTAAAAGCTTAGTTTGTTTGAAACATACATTGTTTTTTTTTATTTTTATTTTTTTTTATCTAATGCTTTTTTAGGGTTGCTAAAAGGAATTTAATTAATGTAATTTTGGTAAGCTAAGTAAAACGGGGTTGGGAAAGCAAAACCCATCCCTATTTCTTATCGGGACGGGAAAAATAGGTACAAAATAGGGTGAAAATGTAAGAGCAAGATAGGAACCGGATAAATTCTCATGCTTAATACATTATTATAAACATGTGTACATATGAAATAGTGTCTTGGTCTAATTTTTGAATCCATCAATTATAAAAAAAATGTTTTAACTCTCTCAATTATAGGTCATTGTCACTTTATTGCCATTAACTTATCAAACTTGTTATGCTTTATCCTTTAATTTTTTAATTTGTTTTAATTTCAACATTCCTTGAACAATTTGTTAGAAACAATTACATGTGAGCTACATTTTGGTCATAAACCAACACTTGAATATCCCCAAGATATATTGTATATAAATAATTCTTTGAATTAGAGTTATAGTCATTTTTTCCTTCTCATAATAGAATGTTAGCAAAAAAAATTGAGATGGAAACAAATAAAAAAGTTATGAAACAAAATGTAACAATTTTAGTAGAGAGAACTGTAATTTACTTGAAAAAATCATTACATATAGAAAATTTTAATTAACTAAAAACACATAGAATCAATATGAGTGATAAATAAATCGTATATTTTGATCATATTATTTGATAAGTAAGATTATAAAAATTAATTTTTTTAATAAAATCACCTCTATTTTCACCCAGTTTTAATGCTTGAGTCATCAATGGTAAAATTTTGTGGTTTGTTGAATCCAATGGCCTTTGTTTTTTGTTGGGGGGTAATTACAACCCAATAGAATTTTGAAAAAAAAGTTACATATTCATGAAAAAATCTACAATTTTAATTATTAATATTTATAATTTTTTAATAATTTTTAAATTTTTTTTACTAATGTAATATTTCTCCTTTTTTATATATGGGTTGAGGACCGTAGGCTCATCATGAGTATTGTTTTGATGATTTAAATAATTTATTTTGTAGAGTTTTTTTATGTATATAATTCATGAAAAAATTTGTTTTTTTTAAAAAATATACATGCCGTTCATTTTTTTAATTATAATTTAATATGATGAAATAAAAATATTACAATTGTCAGGTTAAATGATCTAAATGAAGAAATCAACAAAACAGACGATTTGAATAATTGAAACGAGATTTGTAAGAGTATCATTATTAAGCTCATTAGAGCCTCCTTTTGACTATTTTATAGCACAAAATCATAAAAACACACTTTATCAAACTCAATTCTTGACTATTTATTTTAGTTGAACATCAAACTATTAGCTACATGTAGCTAGGAAAATAGGACTCAACAAATGAAATAAAGAATAGAGAATTTGTTATAGAATATTAAAAAAATGATTAGTCAAAATAAAAAAATAAAATTTTAGTTAAAATTTAAGACAAATTACAGCGGTAGTCCTTGTAATTTACTTTTTTTCATTTTAGTCCCTATTGTTTCAATATGCTCAATTTTGGCCTTTAATTTTACGAATTGTGTCATATTAATCCAATAAATAACGGTGATTAAGTTTTATGGATGAATAATCATATGATATTTCAATTTGGTCCTTATAGTTTACAGGATATGTCAATTTGGTCCATGTTGTTTTGACTTTCTTATAAACCAAATAGACCAAATTGACATATCCTATAAACTACAAGGACCACATTGAAACATCATTTGATTTTTCATTTATCAAACTTAATCGCTGTTATTTATTAGGCTAATATGACACAATCTGTAAAATTAAGAGACAAAATTAATTAAATTGAAACAACGGAGACTAAAATGAAAAAACAGGTAAACTAAAAGGACCATTTGCATAATTTACCTTAAAATTTGATTATTTTGGTGGAAATAATAAACCACATGTATCTCTCAAATTCTTTCAAATTCACATTTAAAATAAGATAAATTATACGAAGGGGTTGTTTGAGATGTTCTAAATAAGTGTACTTTTTGACTTTTTATAAAATATAGGTTGGGTTTGAAGTGATGTGGTAGAGAGGTGATGTGACTTAAATAAGATGATGCGACTTAAATAGGATAGTGACTTTTTGACTTTTTGAAGGAATGCCAAACTTAACACATCTAAAATGTGATCCAATTACATTTTATCTTTGATGTTTTGAAAATTATATTTCTACCCTTGTAGTTAATAGTCTCATCTTATACACCTCTACTTATATAGAAGATAACAACTTCTAGTAAAAAAAAAGAAAAAATTACATTAAAAAAAAAAGTAAAGCAAAGAAAAAAAAGAAGAAGAAGTAAAACAAAAGTAAGAAAAGAGAAAGTACATAAGTTTAATATTTTTATATTGTCTAAATAATTACAATAACCAAAGTTGGTATAATTTTTCAAACATAAAAAAATAATATGCATTAAAGTCAAATTTCAGGATGCCAGTGTAATTACCCTTTAAAATATGAGAAAAGAAAACGCTATATACATATACCCTAGAAAATCCTACATTAACATTCATAAGTATTGAATTCGTACGGAAAAAGCTGCAATCCGTATATTTGTGGGTGTACAAAAAAATAAAAAAAGGAACAAAAACCAGTTTTGAAAAGGCGCCCAAATTGGTGGCCTACCCAAATCGAGCCCTGTGCTTTGCCCTAGAAAAATTCCTCTGAAAATGGCTTCGATTTTCTTCGATTAAGGGCTTGTGATCTTCAATACTCATTGACTTCATGGATCGTCTTCGGCCTAGAGACCGAAAGGTTTTCTCTGGCTTCACTACAGCAGAGGTTATACATATTCACAGCTGTTTTTTCATTCCTTTCCTTTTTCTGGGTCTTATTTACTGAAATTCCAAGTTTCTTTCAGCATTATAGTCTATTGAATCTATGATAAAATGTAGTGGAAGAGTTATATCAACTATTAAGTTTGATACATTACTGGTTTTTGTGTTATACACTGCAAAAAAAGCGAGCTTTTAAATTGCAGGCAATGTGGGTATTCATGAATCATTGACACCATTGCATTTTATCGAATATACACTGAAATACTGGATTAAAGTGTGTTATGCTGCTGATTGTGCATTATTGGGTTTGTGTTGTTTTATGTTTAAGTTTATTGGATTGAGTATAACCCTCTGGATTTTGTCTCTAATCTTTTACAACTTTCAAAATACTTGGTATTCATGTATTTGTGTGGGCACATTGTTTAGATTGTATGTTAATGTGCATAAAATTTGTTGGGCTGAAATTGTAAAGCCCCTGAGTGATACCTTCTGAAAATCAGCTGTTAATCTCAGCTTGTTAGTTAGTATTCATGGGTACCTGAACTAGATTTGTGGAGACATTAGATTAATGTCTATGATTGTATATGATTATGGCACCAACCTTGAGGATTCCTAGGCTTTGTTTCCAACCTAGGCTGGTGATGGTGGTGAGACAAGTGTTGGGAATCAAATGAGGTAGGTGCAGTGCAACGGAATTTAAAGCTTTTTTTTATTGATTTCCATAAACACTAGATCATGTTATGATGTATACAAAGCATAAACCACCATCCATCGAGATAATTATAAGAATAACTCCAACACAAAAATCCAATTCCCACGTAAAGCTTTGGGTTTGCTCCAATCCAATTGTTCAAGCGGCTGACCTCTAAAAGTATCCACACAGGCTCTCACACACTCATCTTTTGAATAGGCAAGGAGAGGGAGAAGGCTCACTCTTATGAGAGATCTCCTGTTTATAGACCTAGCTTTCTTGTCACATAAGGATTAACTTTCTTGTTTTAAAATGTATAGGTTGTATCATGATTAACTCTTAATTGCAACAAACCACTTAACTCTTAATTAAGGTAAGTTCTTAATTACGACTAACTCTCTATTCCTTTGGATTTATGCATTGCCCTATTGTGTGTGACCTTTTAATTTTAACTCTTGCTCTCCAATATTTTTAAGTTCTCTTGGTTGGGTGTCCATTGGCTATTCTTTCGGCCATTGGCAAAATTAGTCATGCTTTGTTTTTAGTTTGTCATGGGAAGTTGAACAACTCCTCTTGACCTCAGGTTTTGTACTTTTTTGGTTGTTATTTCCTTCCCTTATTTCCCCCCCCCACCCCTCACAAGATGTTAAGAGGCATGATACAAAGATTTTTTTGCTCTCCCCAATCTGAACAGATTGAGAAAATGGAGAAATTACGTGAAGACTCAAGGGAACAATCTCTGGATCAAGAGTTCTGTAAAAGACTGGCAAGAAGTTTCAAGTGAGTTACATTTTCACAGATCTAAGTATAAGCACGTGTTAATAAAATGAAACTTTACATTCTGAAGACATATGTGATGTTACTTTGGAAAATGGTAGTTTGGGCCTGTAAGTCTTTTGTTTGGCTGCTTGTCTCATTGCAGCTGCTCCAAAGGTCGAGTTGGAAAACCTTCTGTAAAGTGGACTGAGGTGCTCACTCTCATCTTCTTCTCCTGGTCCTGCTTTTTAGGACTTGATTATTTCATTTGTACTTAAAACTGTTCATAAAAATTATTGTTGTATTTTTATTTTAGGTACAAAGTTGGTTCCAGGATAAGCAGCAAGCCTATCCTTTGAAAGATGCTTCTTCACCTATCCCTCCCGAGAAATTGTCAGTTGTTCCAGTAGTTTGCCCTCTGAATAAAGCAGATGAAAAACCCCAAGCATCTAAAGGTACTTCAATTGCCCCTTTTAAAAAAAAAAAAAGGTACTTCAATTGCTGGTATGCTGTTCAGTACAATGGGACATATTTTCAATGCTAGGCCTCCAGATCTTCAATTGGATCCTTTTGAAATGAGTTTCTCTAGGTCTTAAAATGCTGTCTATACTTAATACGCTGAACTTCTTTTTCCAACCGTTGGAGGGTTTGAGAAACTGAGAGGACTTTTTGTACAAATGAGAGTTTCTGGAGTCTCTGGACAAGCAAGATGCATAACTTGTGCTGTCTTCTCTTTTGCTTCAACTGCATGTGGACGTATGAACATGAAGTGGAACCTAAGAGCCTTTGATTTGTTTTTGTTGAATAGAAAAAGATTTTTTCCGCCTCTTGTTTTTTACCAATATGCCCTACTTTTGGGACTTATTACTCATTAAGACCTATTGATAAATTTATCAAGTGATAAATTTATCAGTCTCTTTTGTTTTTATGAATAAATTTACAATGATAAATTTATCAGTCAGGACTTGTAAGTAAATAAGTCTAGTTGATAGGACTGATTGGTAACTGTCCCTAAATATTGGGGGTCTCTATAATTGTTGCTCATATACAAATATATACCGATGGTTAGTTTTTGAATATTTGTTACAAATATGTTCATGCGTGAATGTGTTTTTGTATGTAGAATATCTTTTTAATGGACTTTTGTTGTGTGAACTATCTTGAGTTACTATTTTGTTTGTTTTTTACCGATATGTTTAATTAGTTACTATTTATGCCTACATATGTGTTAATATCCACATTTACGGTTTGAAAAAAAAAAGAGAAATCAGATATGCATTGCCCTAAATTTGTTTCTAAAGGTTGAGTAACTTGGGAGTTTCTGAGGCATTTCCTTCCTTGTAATTGTGGCATGAGGTATCCACTTTATGCACAGCGCACCTTATATCTTGATTGTTATGATTTTGAATCATTTAGTATTTTTGCTGATCTCTGTCCCAAGGCTTGCCACAGCAGGGCCTGAGTTTTCAGTGAAAGGCTTTACTTGCTGTCTTCTTGTCTCAGGTGAAGGTGATTCTTTATTCAAGCAACAGCTTAGTGTTATGTATTTTTATTTTACGTGATAAGATCACTAACCTGCAGCAGTCTGAAACCATTAAATTAGAGATGTACTTGGTTGAAACCATTAATACCTTTTCTTTTACAGTTTTTAGTTCTACTGTTGTGAACTTGTTTCCCAAGGTTTTTGTACTCTTCAGTTAACTTTCATCAACAAACTAATGATCATGTGTATGAAATCAGAAAGAGCCTTTAGAATTTCTGGAAAATGGATTGGTTATCGGCAGTTTTTGATAAATGTTGTTTCAAAAACAGGAGACAAGGTTCCAGATCTATCGGAGTTGGAATTTGAGGCCAGATCATCTAAAGATGGGGCATGGTAAGGTTACATATGAGAAGCAATTAAGGCGTTTTGTTGTCCCCTAGTTGATAAAATATCTAGCTGGTTTGCTTTTGTGTATGGCGCTATGGATGTACCTATTATTATTATATTTTGTTTTCCTGCTTGTGATATGCAATAATGCTACTTTGGAGTTTGATCTCATGAAAGTTTCGAGTTTGATCTCATGAAAGTGCCATTAATTTATAGGCACTTTAGAAGTAGACTTTTTGTTTGCATGTATTGCATGCTTTGGTGGTTGCAGTAATTAGCTCATCCTTTCCTTGATTCACGTTTGTCTACGATAGAAAGTTCACTAATTCATTGATTCTTATTTTCATTCATACTGCCAACTTATGAAAATCATGCTCAGACGTTATTGAATATATTGTTAATCCCTTTTTCTTTGGCTTTGCAGGTATGACGTGGATATGTTTCTCAACCACAGATTTCTTAGTTCAGGTGAAGCTGTAAGTAGTTAAGATATAAATATATGCATTCCAAATGGATTGGTTATCGGCAGTTTTTGATAAATGTTGTTTCAAAAACAGGAGACAAGGTTCCAGATCTATCGGAGTTGGAATTTGAGGCCAGATCATCTAAAGATGGGGCATGGTAAGGTTACATATGAGAAGCAATTAAGGCGTTTTGTTGTCCCCTAGTTGATAAAATATCTAGCTGGTTTGCTTTTGTGTATGGCGCTATGGATGTACCTATTATTATTATATTTTGTTTTCCTGCTTGTGATATGCAATAATGCTACTTTGGAGTTTGATCTCATGAAAGTTTCGAGTTTGATCTCATGAAAGTGCCATTAATTTATAGGCACTTTAGAAGATGTAGACTTTGGGTATGTTTGGTTTGTGTTTGAGAGATGTGTTTTAGAGATAAAAAGTACGAAAACATGTTTGGTTTGGTTTTTTTTAAAAGATGTTTTGGAAAATTATTTTGAGATAGAGTTTTGGAAAAAGTGATTGATTTGATGTGTGTGAGAGAGAGATTTGTTTGGAAAACTTGTTTGGTTTACAAGTTTTGGGAAATTTTTTTGGGAAAATTTGTTTAGTTTGGTTATTTTTGAAAACTTATTTGTAGAGAAAATTTCCCAAATTTTTTTCAGAAAATCAAACCAAACGAGCCCTTTGTGTTTGTATGTATTGCATGCTTTGGTGGTTGCAGTAATTAGCTCATCCTTTCCTTGATTCACGTTTGTCTACGATAGAAAGTTCACTAATTCATTGATTCTTATTTTCATTCATACTGCCAACTTATGAAAATTATGCTCAGACGTTATTGAATATATTGTTAATCCCTTTTTCTTTGGCTTTGCAGGTATGACGTGGATATGTTTCTCAACCACAGATTTCTTAGTTCAGGTGAAGCTGTAAGTAGTTAAGATATAAACTTATGCATTCCTGCATTTTATGGGTCTAATATGGGGTGTATCCTACCAGAAGTAGTCCTGCTTTTCTATTATTGATCTTAATCCTTTAGTTTTGACTACAAAAAAGGTTTCAGTAAAGTAGAAAAATTTTGATCAGAAAAAATGAAAAAAATATGGAAATGGGAGGAAAATGGTTAATAAAGTGGGGATGAATTGGTCAATGGCACATTGAAACACACAAGTTGATCGATATGATTGAAACATAATGATACTTAAAAAAATAAATCACATGATATACCTCAAAACTAGGCAATGAAAGGTGAATTTTCAAGGTAATAAGAGTACCAGGCAATGTTGATCCTACTCAATATATGGAAGAATATATCTTGTCATGTTTACGTGATTATAACAGGTAGGAATATAGTATTACCATCTCAATATATGGAAGAATATATCTTGTCATGTTTACGTGATTATAACAGGTAGGAATATAGTATTACCATCTTCAAATATCCAATATATTGTGCAATATGTGGACAATGTTTTCAATATTCCATTTCTTGGCCGGTGTTCTGTTAAAAAGGGATGGAGTAAGGATCCTCTAAAGTGATTTTTCCTTAAAGTTTCCTAGAGTATTACATTGTGTGGTTGAGATTTACTGGCAAGTCACATCAATTTTTCTGATGTGACTTGTCAATAAATCTCAACCACACAATGTAGCACTCTAGGAAACTTTAGAGAAATTTCACTCTAGAGGATCCTTGGTGAAAGGGATGGTGCTGTTGTGTTGTTAATATTGTCTGCCCTCCCATTTTTACCATGCGTGGCACTTCCAGAATATGAGTAGCAATTTAGTTTTGGAGGCTTGTTCCAAGAATTGAATATTTTTTAATGGGTTTTGACTTTTTTTTAGAGTGAGGATAATTTTGTGCAATCAGTTGAAATTTAGAGCATTAATATCAATCAACACATTTTGCGTAGAATTATATATTGGCCAGTTCTATTGCCAAAGCAACCAGTTCTTTGAACAATTCTACATTAAGCCCTAATTTATTGTACATTGCTTTGGCAATACCCATGGCCTTCATTTTTTTTCCCCTTGCCCTATTTTAATTTTGATATATTTGTCATTTATTTCAGGAGGTTCATGTAAGATTTATTGGGTTTGGATCCGAGGAGGATGAATGGGTAAATGTGAAAAAGGCTATCCGTGAACGCTCTCTCCCCTTAGAGCATTCAGAATGTGGAAAACTGAAAGTTGGAGATCTGGTACTCTGTTTTCAGGTAATATTATTTTTTCTAGTTTATGTTTTCAAATCTTACAAAAATACCCTTGGCCATGGTATCACATCCTTCATTTTGATGGTTTGGGCATATAATCAGGAGAGAAGAGATCAGGCAAGATACTATGATGCTCATGTTGTAGAGATTCAGAGGAGAATGCACGATATAAGGGGCTGCAGGTGTCTTTTCTTAATTCGATATGACCACGACAACACAGAGGCAAGTACTCTTTGCATTAGCTTTTTTGAATCCCTAAATTTTCATTAGAAGTCGACTTGTCTTCAACAATGATAAGCTACAAAATGTAGACATTACTACCCTTCCATCTTTCAGGAGAGAGTTCGTTTGAGAAGATTATGTTGCCGGCCAACATATTAGATCAATCAAGTGATTCTCAAATCATATTATGCACGCAGGTTGGGTATGTATGAAGTGACAAGCTTTTATATAGGCAGCTCAACATAAAGTGACATCATATATATATACTACGAAGCCGTTTTCGTGTTGGTTGGTCGGGTATTTTTTCTCGAACAATCTTGATTGAGATTGTAGTTATTCAGGGTTGTTTTCAGAAGTAACTGTTGTGCTATTTGACTTGTTTGCTATTGCTGTCTTCAGATTCATCTTATGCTGATTGTGAATAGTACTCAACTTGTTCTGAAGTGGTGACAAACTCAATGTTACCATGTGAATGTATAACCATTCACTGTTTGTGGATCTAATTCTTGGGAAGTAGTTTTGCAATGATTAAGATAGATTAGTGTGGAGAAAAATCTACCACAATTGGAGTAAATGATGAATACGAGTCAAGGTTAATGGCAATGACCTCTAATGACTCTCCGATGACCTACAATTACAAACATGTGAGTCATTATCGGCTGGTGTGATCAGCTATAGGGACATTTAGATGCTTAAGTCAATATTGCAGGATGAACTCCCAATATATGTAAGCATAAACTCTAATGAATATGTATGTCTATCCGGAAGTTGAGTGAGCATTTTATATCTTCTGATTTGACCAGAGAGTTTTTTTACAACCATTTGTCCAAGTTATTTCGCCATATTTGGGATCATGCCTAACAATTTTTTTCAGTAGTGATAAGCATTAAACTTATCCCACTCAATCCATCCTTTGCTTTAGTTTTGCCCATCGAAATACTATGCTTGACCGGATAGCTAATTACTCATTACGTGTCCTACTTGGCCACCTACTACCTAGCTTGGCTGATTACACGGCGCCATGTACTTCCTAACTTGGCTGAGCAGCGTGATTGTATAAAATTACCTCCCATAATAAGTAATCTTTATCATCATGATCACTGATCATCGCTTGAGATGATGACTTTCTTTTTTTCTTTATGTTGTGTTTGGATTATAAATATTTTTAAAAAAAGCTTATATTTTATTTGTACTTTTCTCATCTTTTTTAATTTCTCTTTTTAAATTCTTATCTAAACATAGTCTTAGCAGTCCAGGGAAGAACACTCACAGGCGTGCAGGTGTTTTGAGAGAGCACCAAACTTTAAAGTGCCAGCCAGGCCAAAGGGTTGGCCCGAAATGCTTGTTTAGCCAAGGGGTGAACATGAAACCATTGGATTCTGCAGTCTTTCATCACTTTATAATTTATTTTTCAAAACAACAAAAGAAGAGTAAAAAGTAAGTGGGATGAGACTTTGCGAGAGTTTCCAGATGAGCAGGAAAGGCTGGAAGGCCTCTACTACTGAGGGGGACATACTGAATGAAAATATTTCAGGAATCAACAAAATGAGTGTGCATTTCCTCATTTGATACGTTATAAATTCAAACCAGAAGTGTGGGCAAATGAGCAAAACTAACTTGCCCATACGTGCAATTGAGATTTACAGAGCATCCTTGCTTACCCTGGTTAATCTTCTGTATGTGCTTTTCAAGATCAATGGAGGTCAGGGTTACCATTTGAACCAAGTGATGAAACATCATCATCAAAGTCAGATTCTCCCTCGTTTACAACTCTCTGGACATACTTTCTTGAGAATTCATATGCTCCAGTTATTACTGATTTGACAATTTTTTCAAAATGCAAGAACTCTACAGACCCGAGCCATGCTTGAACCCGGTACCATTTGGCAAAATCAGCTAATAAGCTAACCCACAGAAGTTATTTTCATCGTCTTGCAATGGTACCCGTCCGATGAAGTTCACAACTTTGCCAACCTACAAAAAGAAAATAGATGAAATCAGGCACCATATCCACCAAATTACATCTACTCCCTTATTTTGGATAAGATAAAATGTTAATGACACTTTGGTCATGCAGAGAAAAGTACTTTCTCAGCCAAGAAACAAGGTAGAAGGGTAACCGAAAGAAAATAAGCAACAACATCATGTGCAAAATATCAAATACTTTGATATTCCCATTCACTCCAACACTTACCGTTGTATAGGCTGCAAAATCAACTTGTTCATGTAACACACCTCCCAAAAAACACACAAAATGGAAAGAAAACGAAGAAAGGCCACAGAAAAATGAAAAAACAGAAAAAAAAAATAGACAAAGGAAACAAATGTCCGAACTCCTTTATGTTCTGCAAAACATTTAAAGTGTGAAATGCAAAATTATAAGCAAGATTTTCCCTAAAAGAAGTTGCAGAAAGAATGAAAATCAGGCCTCTCATTTACCAGTACGCCCAAAATGTAGCATCAGTTGTAATGACTTTCGAAAGGCAGGACTCTAGATGATAATAGCAGAGGTAATGAAATATTGATAGACAGGATAACTGGTAGTAACTTAAAGTCTGGAAGACAATAAATTTTTTGGAAATGTTAATACACAAATACAATACTTGTTGCCAACAAATTACAAATAAAATTTATTTTTGACAACCATACAGCATGTAGGATGCAGAACATACGCCGACAATCACTAAAATATATTAAAAATTAGATAAGTCAAGATGAAGGTCCCACGTGAAAAGGAAAACGGATATTTTGCAACATATCTGCACAAATGAAAAACACTGCAAACCCATTCAAATTCCAAACTTCATCCAAAAAGGCCCAAGATAGGGGGCCTTGTTGCCATGCAATAGTACCAACACCATAAAACAAGCAACCAATTGTAGATGGAAACATCCCGGAAAAAGAGGAAAAACCCACTCACCAATACTCTAGTACAAAAAGAACCACAATTAAGTAGTCATCAGCCAATAAAGAACTCGTCCTTGGAAGAAAAAAAATTCAAAAACAACAATGGCATGACCAAAGCTTTAACAAAACAAGTACAGAAGGTGAAGATATAATATCTAATGAAACTGTCATGATGATGACATGACACTGCTAGTGACTTACCTAGTGGAGAGTTGAATGATTTGATAAATAGTCTCAACTAGTGTCATTGTTCCCAAGATCTTGCTCCAAACTATATACCAAAAGATCAAGGACATCTACAACCTCCAAATATATGTTAACAACAATAATCAAACCAACCACATAATCACAGTGGTGAAAACCAGATGCATAGTAGGGAATCAACAAGAAAATTTGAAGCTACTGCAGCACACAGCATCTGATATGGCACCATAAATGATTAATGTGATGCATTGGACTGTCATCCACTCAAAACACTTCAACTTTACTGATTAAGCATTTCAATACGACAATGATTACTCCAGGCCAGTTTTCTTGCACCTTTTCAATAAAATGAAAAATTAGAACTTAAATAAAAACTCAAAACATGGAGATCAACATCTAAATCTCACAGTATCAACAGCCAATGACAATCCCACCAGCATTGTGGCATGCCGCCCCTGAACAATTAAATACGGAGTATTTAGCATAAATATCTTCTTCTTTTTTTTTTTTTTAAAATGGAGATTTATTCACAAGAAGTTTTTCAACTTTTTGTTGAGATAGATTTCAACTCTTTTTTCTTTTCCCCCTGTTGGTAGTAAGGATATGAACTGATCAATATATACACCAAATGCCACAAAAAAACGAAAAGAAGTTGTTTGACCATAAGTTAAGAAAAAACAATGGCTTGACCATAACCCAGGTAACAATACACATAATGAGATAAGAACTATAAAGAAAAATTCAATGGGACGTGGATTTTGCAATTATAACACGGAATGGATTCACTAGCCAAATGCACCCAGTCTGGTCAGAGAGACAGATACATAAATGCAAAATTGGTAATGATAAGAAGCAGGCAGGGAGGAGGAATTATATCAACAAAATTAAGTAAATAACATATTCAAAATCACATCACTGCTAAAAGGTTTTAGGGATGCAAGACCAGAAATAGAAGAATGAAGTAAAAAAAGAACAAAAACAAGACGATAGACATAAAAAAAGGTCTACGGTTCAGTTCCAAATTCTATAATTGCATGTTCCCAAAATAACATCAATAATCAAACCATGACCCATGCATGTCTTCAACCAAGTACTTATTTTGCAAAACTATACAAACTTTTGACAGTACAAAACATCATTGGGTACAAAGAGATTATGGTCATTAGCTAATAAGCATCTCAACATAATTGAAACATAGTGCACAGGTGTTAGTAACAATTCTATGTGATAGTGACGCTAAGTAAAGCTTTGCATACATCCACTCCCAAATGACATGATGACTCAATCTGTCTTTAAAAGACAAGGAGAGCTTCGCTTCACCAAAGAGCAATAGATGGAAAAAACTGGACCATGGCTCCTAAGGTTGAGCAATCAAAAAAATATCAATGAGCTTCCCTGACAACACGCTGACCAGCTCATGAAACAGTTCGACCATAGCAAACAGAAGCAATATAAAGATTTTTTGCCCATTTCTCCTGCAAGGAACAACCCCAGAAAGCTAGGTTAATGAAACAACGCTTCTAAGTACATGAAAAGCAAAAAAGTGTAAAATGATAGATGTGAATAATCAAACCTTGACGTGTGTACTAGGAAAAGCAGTAGTCCTAAGAGTCTCTTGTGTTTCATCTGCAGGTTTTCTCCTTGGCACACTGAGAACGAGAGCAGCCTGGTCCCAAGTTGCTGCAGTAGATGTGATGCGATAACCAGCATCCCACCTCCGATGAATACCTTCACTAGGATAAAGAAAATCAAGTTCCACAACCTGCATTTCAACAAAGAAATTTGATCAAGAAAGTTTTCTTCACCAGAAAATTGGCTTTCTAACTGAGCAAAGCTCCAAAAATTATAACTGAACCTGATCAGAAAATCCTGCTCCACGAGACATGACAATTGCCCATCTACTTCCTGCAGTAGCCATGGCAGTTACATAGAATCCTTCCCTCCATTTTTTATTTATCCACTTGAATGGAAATGACTCGCTCACTTTATAGGATTGCTGTAAATACTGGGTACCTAGATTTTAAAGTAGTGAAAGTGAGAACAACAGTAAGTGCCAATATAACTACTAAACATAAAATTTGTTAAACTAACCCTTGGACATCACCACCAATGAGCTCCCATTAGTAGCCCCTGCTATAGCGCTAATATAATAGTTCTTCTCCCATTGTTCCATTATCCATTCCTTTAAGAAAGATAAATGGGAAGGATTAGTTCGTTGATTTACACACACTCAGGCAATAAGCACATTTCAAAAAAGTGCAAAGTGCAGCACATATTATCATGTTCTATGCCTTGTCAGTAGAAAGTTGTTAAGGACTACAAGCAACCTTGTGAAGAAAATAGGGAGAGAGCTCATAAACTTGAGAACTGAAGCCAGTGCCTGCATCCATGATCAAGGCCCACAGGTTTGAACAAGATGCCACACTGCTGATGAATAACCCATCTTCATTTCCTTTCTCAATATGCTGGGAAAGCCTCACATCTGCCACATTATAGTGATATCTACAACACAAAATGTAAACATAACTACTTTAGCCTTTTGCTATTAATCTGTAAGAAGTTAAATGCATATGTTCAAAATCTGTACCTTTGCTTCATAGGCCGGCGAGCGTTGTAAACACTAATCCATTGTGTTGCAGGCATTCCCATTCTTACCTTCTTCTTCGGTTGTTCATCATCTTCCTCTTCCATTGTTAATCTTCCTCTTTTATGTCCAACTTGAAATATAAGCTACACAGTATGTAGACAAATATTAGACACACAAAATCAAGAGTAAGTAAAATTTTCATTTTAATTATACAACTACAGAATATAGTCAAAAAGCTAGATAGTACCTTTTGAGCTCCATCAGTGTTGATGGGTCTGATATCTGGATTTGGACCAACTATCCCGTCAAAGAGGGAGATGTATTTTGCATAGTTAGGTTCCTCATCAAACTTCAAGTTCACCACATACTCTACAAACTGTCTAAAAGGAGCAGGACAAAAGCAACAGAGAGTTTCTGGAGAAGTTGCCATCTTCTTCTTGCATACAAGGAACCCTTTGTTCTCCCCCTAATTAAACAGTCGTGTCAGAATAATATAGAAATGACATATAAATCAACAATAGCCTGTTCCAAGTTGGGCAACTGCTAACCTGATATCCTTGCCAAGGCAGTCGGCCTCGGAGAAGAAAAATGAGAGTGTAAGCAAGAGACTCCAAATCATCTCTCCTGCTCCCAGTTCTTCCAAGATGAGCATGCACACTTGCATAGCGCACCGTTCCCCTGAAACACCAAAATGATCATGCTCAATTGAAAAAAGAAAAAGAAAAAAAAAACTAGTAGAAAGGAACTAGAATAAATTATTGAAACATTAGCTTACCTAAAAACATCTGGCCGTTGATCATAATCAACATGTAGACCAGTAGAACCATCACGCCACCTGGTTGCTGCATGTCAAAATGTGTAATCAGAATAATGAAAAACTGGCATAATTCAGTATCGTACTGTGTCTTATATTTGTACTGCAGAGAACAAATGTATATCGTAAAATTTACCCAATCCAAGGTCAACAAGAAACAGTTTTTTCTCATCAGGTGTCCCTGGCGGACCAAGCAAAAAGTTCTCAGGCTTTACATCTCCATGCACATATCTGCATAAAGTTGTAGCAGTCATATACAGACCATATATTTTAACAAGTGGAAATTGCTACAGCTAAATAATACTAATTGGATTCTAAGTTTATTTACAAACATAAAAAGGCGAAGAAAGAAAAACCTCTCGTCACATCAAGCGAAGTAAAAAAGAATATAAGCAAAATTAAAAAGTAAATGGGGTAAAAAAAGTCACCCTCTGGAGTGCATCTTCTCTAATATAGAGATTGCTTCAATGGCAATGCAGGCAACCATTTCAATGGACATCCTGAAGTTGGAAAACATAACAGAAGCTTCAGAGATGTGTCAATTGGAACAAGAAACTATGATAAAAGGTATGTTCTTCAGAAATTAAATTTGAGAAGAAGCCTACGCGTGGGAGTTGTTATTCCAAACATCCCATAAACTAGGTCCAAGCATATCCATCACCTGCAATTATAGTAATTTTTCGGTATCAAACAAGCAGACAGATTAAGATTTAGAAATACAATATCATACTATACAAGGACAGCATATAAAGTTGATGACACACACCATTATATAGTAATCTCCTTGTCGACCCTTGTAATGTGCTCGTGGCACACCATGACTGCCACCAAGTGAGCTGAGAAAATAGCAGAAGCAGCAAAGCATTAGCCACGAATTTTAGGGGGGGGAAAAATCCTAAGGTGAGTATGCAATATAACCAAAAAAGACTCACTTGTAAACTTGCCACTCATAGGGCGGTCCATAATTACATCCCTTACTGCTTCTATGCTCAAATTTCAAGGCTACCTAAAAGTTTCAATAGATCACATAACATGTTAAGAAGAATAAATGCAGAATCAATCTCTGCATGATGTTTTTCCACTATCTATAAAAAAATATCTTACCTCTATAGCACCTGGGCCAGTTCTTTCATTTGGATTTGGAGCATTAATGCGGCGACCAACATATACCTGTCCAAAACCTCCTTTTCCAAGTTTCTTATCAATTCTGTATGGTGGGGAACCACCAACCTGAACCTGATATAAAAGCAAAGAAGACTATTAATAGAAGCATTCAACCATACATCGTGGCACTCCTAGCCCCCATTGCAAGATCACAAGTATGAGGTACCAATATCCTCATTGGAAATCATATTTTTTCTTCACTATAATCTTGCTTGCTTGTTTTGGAAGCTTAGTAAAATATAAACATCAAATTCTTTCGTGCTCTACAATACAAATGTACAAATGTAACCATGGTTATCTGGAGATAATTTTAAGTGAAACCATGCTTATCAACAATCTCCTTTTTAACAAACGGAAAGCATTCTACATTGGTACTGAACAAACTAAAGTACAATAGTTTAATTACAATCTGTCAAGCATATGTCTTGAAACCATGCTTATCAACAATCTCATTTTTAACAAGAAAAAAAAAGCATTCTACATTATATTGAACTAAATGAAGTACAGCTTGATTAGAATCTATTCAGCACATATCTTGCTTTCAAATTTCAATAGCAAAACTATCTTTAGCTTTTAAGATCAAGTAAAGTGGTTCTATGCTACTTGCTAAATTTGTTTTATTCTTTCCAAGTAGCATCTCTTCAAGCTAAATAAACAATAACAAGGAGCTCCATCAAAGTACAAAATGAGAAATCCCCACATTCAAAATAACAAACATCTTCAGCTTCTCTTCCAACTCCAAAATAACATTTAAAGAAAATACTTTGCAAAATTTTTAAACCCTTCAATCATAACATTTTAGTTAATTAAAACTCAAAAACCCAAAATTCCGCATTCAACTAAAACAGTTCAACTCAACTCCACAACCCTTAATCCCAATTACTTGGGAACCTAAATAAAAACAGTATAACAGATTCAATAATAAAGTTCAATTTTTTATTTTTTAAATTTAATTTGAAGCCCAAACAAGATGTAAACATATATCCCACAAACATTTCTTCTCTTATTTAATTTGAAGCCCAAACAAGATGTAAACATATATCCCACAAACATTTCTTCTCTTCAGCCCAGTTTTCTCCACAACCAAACACAAAAGCAAAATATTAAAAACACAACCATATCTAAAAACAGAAAAATGAGCCTGCAACAGTGTGTGTGTGCATATATATATATATATATAGAGAGAGAGAGAGAGAGAGAGAGAGAGGAAATTAACCCTCTCAGGGAGTGGAGCAGTGCTTCCTTCATCTTCAGCAGGCAAGCCCTTATCGCCGCTCCGGCCACCACTATCATACTCATCCATCTTCTTCTTCTCCCCAACCCCCCAAACCCTAGCTGCTGCTTCTTCTTCACCTTCAAACGACGTCGTCTTCCGGCTATTAACCTTCACAACATTCTCATCATCATCATCATCCACCAAAACCAGCTCCTTCTCCTCCTTCCTCTGCTTCTGTCCAGTTCGCCCCTGCCGATTCCGTACGGTTCTCCCCGTCCTCTTATTGTTCCCTTCTTCTTCGCGTTGTTCTTCGATCGCAGCAATCGGTTGGTTCTTCTTCTTCGAAGGTCGTCCTCTGCGCACTCCGCTACGCAGTTGAGGCATATCTATCGATCATCCATCAAATAATTTGATTACCCCCACACTAACCCTCATGAACCTTCCAGAATTCCACCGACGATAATCGATTTTCGATCGGTTTAGAAGAGGTTAGCAAGGGCAAATTGGGGATCAGATATATATATACACACATGCAGAGTGATATATATATATATTAGGGTTTGAATTGTGAAATTTTCAGAGATCTGTGGATGGAAATGAAAAACAATGGCGTCAAAGGAGAGAGAGAGAGAGAGAGAGAGAAGCAGTGCTGTGTTGTTGATTTTTATTTTTTTTATTTTCAAGGTGGATTATCGACGTGGAGGGGTGTTATTGGGGGAAGCTCGAGTGTGAAATTCTGCGGAGACGCGGATTTCGTTTGTTGTGTCGTTGTTGTTCGGGCTTGGTACTCGCTTTAGGGCCAATAAGGAGGCCGACATGTCATTTAGGTTAAGAGATTCTTGTGTTGTGGTGCCCATAAGTTTTTTCTTGAGGTAATTTTGGTGAAAAATAGGATAAGGTGAGGGGAATCCGAGCATCTCCAACGCTTAAAAAATTCTTCTCATATAGCATGTTTTAAAGGAATAATTCGAAATTTTATCAAATTATCAGTCAATTGGGGAGGGAAATCGGGAATATCCGGCTGATCAATGAGTCACTGTAAGTTTTTCAAAATCTTAAAACAAACTTTGTAAGAATGTGGTCGATTAGGTGACAATCAACTAAATATTTAGTTTTATAGTATTTTAATAAAAGACTCAGACATTTTTAATTTGATGAAAGATTTGGAATATTTTGAAGTTGATATTAGTTTAATGTTAACGTTGGACCATATTTTTTATTAGTTTTTTTTTATCAAACTTAAATTTAATAAAAAATCTAATGAAGGATTGAAGATGGTCTTACATCTCAGAGGAACAGAGTTTTTTTTTTTTACACAAATATGGAGGGGTGACTTGCAACCCCACAATTTTTTAGTTACATCTCATTATAGAATTACTTACACTCTGTATATGTTTATAATTTTATTTATTTATTCTCACTATGCTGTAATTCCTCATGAGAAAATGGGATATGAAAAAAAAAATTATAAATAGTTTTTGGAGTACATATTACTCCTAACATATAGTTTTAAAAAGTTGTATGCTTTTTATTATTTTTATTTTATGCAAATTGTATAACATTTTAATATATCCAATGAGGATATATATTAAAAAAAATTATAAATTAAAATATTTTTATTTAAAAACATATGTTGGAAAATTTTTAAAATATTATACAACTCACATAAAAGTTTTTGTGATTAAAAAATATAATTTTTTTAAATTTGATGACATGTACGTAAAAGTACAAGATAGAAAAAGAAAATTGTCATATAGAGTGCTTCCGTTTGGGAAGTGGGTTGGCTTTTTGGTTTTTTTGGCTATTTTAGCCTGGGCTAAAAAGTTTGGTTTGGGAAGGGCTTTTTGACTTTTTTGACTTTTTTTGTGAGAGAAGAATGTAATGATTATAGGTTGGATGTGATGTTTTGTTTGTTATGGCTATCTTTTAAATACAGTGAAGATTGTCCAACAGTACGTAAAAGTACAAGATAGAAAAAGAAAATTGTCATATAGAGTGCTTTCATCTCATGTCCTATAATTATTTTTCATGACTGGCTATTATTTTTTTATGATAAATTTTTATTTTGAATTTAATTAAAATATCTCAATAGTTTTTTTTATTATTTTATTTTCTTTCTTTTTTTCTAAATTGTTTTAATTTTTGAATTTAATGAACACAATTAAAATTGAATTCAAAACATACTCACAAAAACTATCCAAATATCTTATGATATTTGTGTTTTCAGTAAATAAGAAACTACGAAACATATTAGTTAATTATTGAATAATTATCCAAATTAAAGATGCACTAAGCCAAGGATTGATCACTAATGACACCACCAGAGACTCCAATTTAAGGAATATTTGGAAATTGAGGTTTCTTAGTGAATTTTTAATTTTTAATAAAAATATATTTAAGAAAAATAAATAAAATAATTTAAAATTTTATAATAATTTTTTGACTGAAAATTCACCATCCGAAACAAGGCCTTAATGCTGACCAAAAAGCATAACAATGGCGTCACCAAGTTGCTTTAATAAGACAACCATATTTCTAATTTCAAAATAATTAATTGACAAAAAGTTTGTATATATTAGTGAAACCTTCTATTCTTCTTTGAAAGGCATGGATTTAATAAAAAAAACTTAACATATCCATCCAACTGTGTCTTCAACTAGGAGCCACACCTAGCCTCATGAGACCTCAATTATAAATTGATTATTGCTTTAGCAATATCAGTCATCTTTTGCCTAATACTGTGTTTAGTTAGAGAATTTGAGAAAAGATTTAGAAATAAAAAGAGAAAAGGTAAGTAACATGAGAATAAAATATATTTATATTTTTACCTAATTTCATATACCTTTTCTCTTTTTATTTCTAATTCCTTCCAAAATTTCCCTACCAAACAGCATAATTGTTTATTCTATGTGGGTGTTTGAGAAGTGAGTTTTTTTGTAGATTTTTTTAGTTGTAGGATATTACTGGAGAATTTTTTTTTTTATGTTTGAGAAGATAGTTGAGTTTTTTGTGACTGGATGTAATATTTGTGAGAGAAAAAATGAAATGAATATAGAATTTGATGTGATATTTTGTTTGAATTTATTTTTTTTAATTTTGCAAAATATTTGTCTTGTAGTAAAAAAAAATTTAAAAAAAAATTCCAAAAATCAAGTTGCCAAACACAGGCTGTTTGCCTAATTTTTTATTATGGTTATTTCAACTGCCTTTTCTTGTCCCTTTCAAACCGTTTCTACTTTGGTTTGGTATAGAATTAGGAGGAGATGGATGATAAGTAATATATGTATATTTTAGGCCAACTTTGACGATCTTGAAAAATTCAAAAAGATAAAAAGTAATTCAAAAAGTTAAAAGGTTAATACTGTTTATCAAAAAAAATATTAAACAAATAATATACATATATTAATACAAATCAAAAAATAAACTCATGGATTGGTACCGACGAAATCACGTCTATCGGATATCACTAAATACATGATCAAATTAGTTTTGTATAAAAATAGATGGTGTTATAGTTAACAGTTAACAAAAAAAACTAACACGATTAGATAGCTATCAATATTCAATCAACGTGATTTTTTATAAGCACATAGTATTCGACGAGTTCTACATATTGAACGGTTCCGATTAGTAAAACGGGATCCGTGGTGGGCCCCCATGGACCGAACAGAACCGATTAATTTATGTCCGAAAAGTAGAGAATCAATCTTCTACACTGCCCTCTCCCGCACTGCCCTTTAGGCTTCCAACCGTACGGCCTATTCCATCACTTTATTCCCCTGTACCCTTATTTATACAAATTTTTAATACATATTTTTTCATAAAAAATCAAAAAGTTAACTAAAACATTCATATTTTTTCCCTCAACTTTTTAGTCTAAAAAGACAAAAAATAAATTTATTTAGGACACTCCAAACAACCCCTTAATATCATAACATACCATATGGATTTATGTATGCTATTGGATTACTGCACTATAGGGATATCAAAAAATAAAAAAATGTAGTGAGATTTAAAAAATTAAATTTGATTGTTAGATAAGGATAAGCTATAACTGATAGAGTATAATTAATTATGCTAGAAAACTGAGATAAGTCATCTCATGATTTTGAGAGATTATTAATTTATTTGAGCAATTAATTCTCCTTAACGGTGGAATAAATTTATAACATCACGGAATTAAAACACAAATTCTAATGGGTAGGGAATTGTTTTTTTTTTTTTTAGAAAAATTCTATGGATCCCAAATAAACTGTCAAATTTACTACCAAACCTCTTATATGGGTGTGAGACTTATACAAATTACATGTGTGGGTCTCACACCATGTGAGAGGTTTGGTAAAAAATTTAATAATTTATTTAGAATCCCTAACATAATTCCTTTTTAACATATTGGATTTTGAACTTATATTTGTTGCCCAAAAATTTTCATTTTTAAGAATATGAATGAAAAGAATACGAAAATTGTTCATGCTCTTACTTAAATTCAACTTTGAAGCAAATCCTTGTCACTTTTTTTATCTTATAACAATTCTTTTGCTTAAACTTATATCAAATTAAAATATGATTTTGTCCATTGAAGTGATATCAATTAAAATTTTTACTCAAATAAGGACAATGACTTAGTTTCTTACATATAAAATGTTAAACATATCAATTTTTTATTAAAAAAAAAAATAGAAGGATGTGTTAACACTACAAAAAAATTGCTTTTTTGCTGTCGCAAATACCCAAAACGTTGTCTCAAAAGCTTTTTTGCGACGGCAAGAGGGGGGTCGCAACAAAAGGGGTTGCTAAAGGGCTTTAGCGACGGTATAATGCCGTCTCCTATTTTTTGTGATGGCAAAAATGTCCTTTTGCGACGGCAAAATACTGTTGGCATTAATGTGTGGAAATCTAAATTTTTTGAGAAGACATTGTGGTGCCGTCGCTAAAAAGGTTATTTGCGACGGCAAAAATATCGTCGCTAAATGGTTATTTGAGACCACAAACATGCCGTCTCTAAAAATATTATTTGCGACGGTAAAGAATACCGTCGCTAAAGGTCTTTTGTTTCAACTAATTAATAATGCCAATATCTTTTGCGACGGCTATACTACCGTCACAAAAAAACTGGTTCTAATTTTTTTTGAGACGGTGTGGTGCCGTCTCAAAAAAAAAAAAAAAAACTGCAATAAAATTATTAAAAATATAAAAATTATCCGTATTAAATGAAAAATAACTAAAAAAAAAAACTGATAACTATATAATAATATAAAAATTCCAGTATATAAATAAAAATTCATCCATAATTAAAATATTCTTCCATTCATAACAACACATCAGCAAAATTATCCCACCACATAATGTTGCAGAATACATACATAATGTTGTTCACAAATCTAAATAACGTAAATCAAAAATAAAAATTTTCGTCATGATTCTTCCGTGGGTTACAAAAACAAAAGTTAGTCACAATCTTCACACGCCTGCATTCCACAAGAAACAAACTGCTACTCAGGAAATATCTGAAAATAAAAAATAAAAATAATTAATGACAATATAATTTTGTGTTAATATTTTAATTACTAAAAAGCATAAAAAAATTAACTACTATATAATTACAAAGATAATTAAGTAAATAATTTTG